TCTCTCTCTCTCTCTCTCTCTCTCTCTCTCTCTCTCTCTCTCTCTCTCTCTCTCTCTCTCTCTCTCTCTCTCTCTTTTCTCAACGGTCTCAAGCGGTTTCAAGGCGAGCCGCATCAGTGGCAGAGCGCGTGTGGAGCGCGAGTGGACCTTGATGCTCGTGGGCGGTTGTGTTGGAGGACGCGTGGGGGCGGGGGACAAAGTCCTTGGCGCGACGTGCCTGTGTGTGCGGTTCTGTCTGGGCAGCATCAACTTGGGGGGCGCTGGTGTGACCGGTGAGTCAGTTCGGCAACACTGATCTTTACCGTTTGGTGTGCTTTGGGGGCTGAATGGCCCCGCCTTGATGCACCACCGCCCATGGGTCAAGGAAGAGGACCACCAAGAACATGAGCGCAGCGCCCGGCACTGATAGGAGCAAACTACAGTACAACCCTGAATCGGTCCTGCTCCGGTGCCTGGTCGAGTGCCGACTTGTCACGCCCGGTCAACGTCAACTGCGACTTGATCACGGCCCCTTCCAGTACGCCGCCGACCTGAGCCCCGACGGTCTGGTCACCTGCGCCAACCGAGTCTTTGCCAGCCTGACTGATTTTGTGGCCCATTGTCAACGTGAGGTGGCCACTGAGCTTGGGCCCGCCCAGCTTGATCCCTGGGCCAGCGTGCGTCATCTGGGAACCCCGCTTGCTGAGCTCGTGACAAACTGGTGCGCGCATCTCGAAGCCCGCCCTGAACTTGATGACCCACTGGACGCGTTCTTCTACGTTTTTTGGAATAGCCCACCCACTGCACGGGCCTCACCTTGCCTCAACTCCTTCTTTTACCCTGTTTTGCCCGAAAGCAAGGCGTGGCAGCTCTACCAGTCTTGGCGTGACCACAACCATCCTCCGCACCTGCGCATGCATACCCAGCAGTGCACTGTCAGCCAAGCGCTTACTCAACTTTTGCCCGCCTCTGCCAAGCGCCTGTCTGCTGTTGCACGGGCGGACGGGTCATCGGTTCCACCTGGCACGGATGCGCGGCCACAGCTGAAGCATCTCTCGCGTTCGTCCATTGCTTCGCGCCTAAGTATCCCCTTGCCTGTCCCCCGCGCCAGTCTCAACTCGGACTCTGCCGTTCCATCCGCACCCCTCCCCCTCCGCTCGACCCCTTCCGAACCACGACAAAGCGACACGCCACCCGGAACCGTCAGATCAGGCACCTCAGCCAACAGCAACCCCAGGGCCAGGCCCTCCTCCATTGTCTTGCCTGCCCCTCGAGTGGGCCTTGATCAAGTGCCGATTCCCGTTCTCACACCAGCTGACAAGCCCCCTCCAAGCACCATGTCAGCCACTCCCACCGCCAGCGACGAAAAAGCTCGGATTGTCGCAACCAGCCACAGCCCGCAGAGCCCCTCTGCCCCGGACTCACTCAAAGCCAACGCTGTGGAATCGCCTGTCCCTGATTCCAAAGCTGCCCAAACTGGCCTTGGCGAGCAAGTTGACGACAGCCCCAGTGTTGAGGCCCACCCTGATGTCATTGCCCACCCTCAAGATGAGCGCGAGGCCGACCTCAAGGACGACTTCAAGCGACCTTCAAAGGATGAATCAAAAGACGCTTCAAAGAATGATTTGAAAGATGATGTGGAGAACGATCCTCTTGTCGACACCACCGCTGACCTCGAAGCTAGCGTCAAATCAAACCCCGCTGACAGTTCTGAAGCTTCTCAGCCAGACAGTGGTTCATTGGCTCAGGACGGGCCCCAGAAAGCATGCTCGCAGGCTGAGAGCAAGAACCGTGGTGCTCCTGAGCCAGAAGTTGAGTATTGTGACACGGTTCACTCCGAAATCGTGGCGGATCCCAACACCGTCACTTCCGGATTCATCATGCACGCAACACCCGATGCATGGTGCGATGGCTTTTCTGCCAAAGAAGACTTTGTTTACCCCGACACGCAGCATCGACCATTATACTTCCAGTGCATCAATAGCCCCCGCTCCTACAATTGTCCAAGGTCGCTCTGTCCGCTCCGATTGGCCACAACGGTACGTCCAAACCGAGGCGCCATCACACAACTTAACCCCGTGCTTGATTCGCGTTTGGTGAGACAGCTACTCACGTCATGCATCCACCCTCACGTCCTGGCAACTCTCGTTGGCTGTGCGCGGGGCCCGGCAGCAAGATGTGGATCTGCACATGCGAGCTCGTCATGGCTGCACGCTCAGCTCGACCAAGGTTGCCAATACAAAAATCGTTCGTTGGAACAAGCCCAGTGCAAAAACCGTCATCTACAGAATATTTGATCAGAACCGCCGGCCCTTTCCCTTCCATGACCTTTACGGTCGCAGAATTGATACGCCAAGCTACTTTACGGATCACCCCGAGCTCTTTGCCCCCGCGGACCAGGACGAGCACGCGCCGCCCAATCGCTCGTTGAGATCTGCCCCCAAAACGGGCCAACCCGAAACGCCCGGCTCGGGCCATGCCGCCAAAAGGGCCAAAACAAATGGAACGCGTGCTTCGGCGATGGAGCATCCACCAAACTGTCGCACCATCGCGCCTTCGCGCGAGTACGAACTTGTCAAGCAGATGGTGATTCGTGAAATATGGTCCCTCCTCTGTCATCAACACTTGACCTTGCCATCAGCTTATCCTGACTTGGCAAGCGATGACACGCCTTTGCGCCGCGAACCCGTGCGCGGCCCCATCTTTACGCGTTGGTACGTATCAAAATTGGTGTCCACCTGATCCACTTGTGTTCAGATGTCTTTCCTTCTGAGTTCGCTTTTCCTTCTCTCTCTCTCTCTCTCTCACTCTCTCTCTCTCTCTCTCTCCTTTGCCCCATTTTTTTTGTCTGCCTTTGAGAAATTCGATGTCTCGTTGCCCTTCATGTTCACCACTGATGATCAAACATGGTCTCGGAATGTCTTTCAAGACGTAATCATCGCTTTGAATTGCTCACCTTGTTCATGTCTCTGAATGTTTGGCTCGGCTCAGGCTGGCTCCCGACAAGCTTTACCTCAGTAGTGGCTGTAAAGCTCGAATGCAGGACCGCTTAAACGCTCTTGCGCGGCTCGAGGACGCGTTGGATGCTTCAGATGTGGCAGCCGTACGAGATGATCTTCGCACCTTTGTTCAAAACACAGTGGCCAGTCCTGGTTGGCAAAGGCGGCTCGCACCACCAGACGAGGCTTCCAATTCGTCTTGCTGTGCTCAAGAGCAGGTGCGTCATTTCAACTACTTCATGCCCACGCAAAGACAGAAGTGCTTGTTTGGCGTTACGAACCTAATTGCATGGCTTTGGGCGGTCATGTGGACACAGGCGCTCGCGAGCCGTGACATCGTGGATGATGTCTCTTCACGCCCGCGACGGAGAGTGCAGCGTGCCACCATCAACAAGCTGGCGTCCGTGTATGTTCTGTCCGTATGCATGCATCAACCGACAGGCCACATGCTGCAATGCCATATCCCCCAGTGATGTTCTTGCTTGTTTGGGTTTGGATAGCATCTCGGTTTTTTTTTTTTTTTTTTTTTTTTTTGCTTCTTCTTAAAGAGTCGTCTATACACGTGTACGGTTGTGAAATATCTTGTAGGCGACAAACGCAATATAATCCGTATACGTTGATCGAGTGCAACCGTTTCGACGAGAACGTCCATGTGTGTCCTTTTCGGGTGCAAGTCGATGGCGGAGCCCTGCTTTTGATGGAGTTTCATAGGTGAGCGTTGGTCGTGATGCGCTCATGAGAGCAGGGCATGGAGGTGAAAGACACCTTATTCGCTGCTCTTGTAGCTTGTCCTCATCGAGTGCTGGGCTGGCGCCTCCATCGTCTCTGGCACTCTAGTCACATGGCGACAACTGAGATTATTGGCTTTTTGGGAGGCACGTACGATGCTAAAAACCAGCTGCTGACCGTCTCACTGGTTCGTACCGTTGTGGCACGCGGTTTGCGCGATGTTCTGAACATGCCCACCGCCCCAGTTCGCGTGTTTGTTTTACTTGCAGCACGGCTTGGGCCCGTGGCTTTTCCGTTTCCGATGCCTCACAGCCTCGTTCATGGGATAGGCGGTACCGTGTGCGGCGATGGAGGAGGATGCTTTCCAGCGTGAGCAGAGTGTGGAGATGGCCCCCGAGAGCGGTGATCGCGCTCGCCATTTGATTGAGAAGCGCGGCATGACCGTGGTTGGCTGGTATCACAGTCATCCAGCCTTTTGCCCCAATCCCTCTTTGCGTGATATCGAAAATCAGCAATCATTCCAGCAGTTTTTGACAAAAGACACTGACAACGAGCCCTTTGTCGGTATAATTGCAGGTTAGTGTGTCGGGCTCTCCTCGCTGAGTATGCTTGTGAGGCACGGGGTTTCTGGTTGACTGCACCGTGAAAGCCGCTGATCCTGACCTTGTCCTTGCGGATAGCACCCTATCACCGACTCCAAAGCGAATCAGCCAGTGAGAAGCATGCTCGAGAAGCTGCCACACTGGGTGACATTCGCTGTTTTTGGGTGGATCGTTCGCACGCCACTGAATTCCACGGCACAGGTAATGAAAGCTTGGTTTGGACCATCCGCTTTGCTCGTGTCTCTCTGTGTGCCTGTGCCTCCCTGTTTTGGCGTCTCGTGTCTGCCTAACAGCACAAGAGGCTGCATGCCATGCCTGGTCTTCGTTGGGTGTCGTGCCCCTTTTAATCATTGATTATTCGTGTTGCCTCTGTGTCACGTCACAGCATACGGCACACCCATGCATCTGGACTACGAGGTGTTGGTGCAGGAGCAGATTGACGACCACTTGTTCGCGGACCTGGTGAGCTCGTGGCATCTCTTCGAGCTCAGCCTTGCCTGCTTTTTGCTGGTTCAGCCCTGCCACATCGTACCGCCACGTCTGACAATTTTTGGCCACATAGATCAACCTTTGCAATTATTATGAGGTGTACGCATCTCGAGCCGACATGTCAACGGCCGTGGTGGATGGCATGAGCCGATTGGAAAAGCTGCGGTACGCACTGGCACACACACACACACACACACACACACACACACACACACACACACACACACACACACACACACACACCCTTTTTTTTTTTCTCTGGTGGACATGCTTTGACCCTGCGTGCTTGCTGAGGTCTGACTGCGTTGCTCTCTTGCTCCAGATCATGCCTGATTCAGCGGTTGCCACAAACCCTCAGCAAGAGCGTGCGCGACGATGTTGCTAGCCGTCTCACCTCGCTTCTAAACATGGTGGGTCTGTGGTACCCTGCAAACTTGTCCTCAATCACTGGGAGGGGATCGGCTTCAAAGCTGCCACGTCTCATTTTGATACAAACACAGGCTGATACCTTGGCGCAGTTTGGCGACGATCGCCTTCCTTCCGCACAACCTTCAGAGACACCCATGCCTCAACCCAAGACGGAAGTTGTCACAGACGTTGGCTCGACGGATACGCCGCCTGCAGACAAAATGGAAGTGGTATCATGACACGGACGGGTGATGCGTCATTCATTGTTCCGCCCTTACCTTTTGACCGAGCTCACCCCCGGCGGCTGCAGCTGATGTAATTCTTTTCTCGCCAACCGCCGACAACATGCGAAATGAAAATTTAATACGCATATCATAAGAACGTATCAACCTGGCCTCATGCCACACCTACCTCATGCCGACACGCCCTGCCTCCGTCTCGAAAACACACACATGGCACGGGTGCTTAAGCTTCAAATGCAAGGATGCCTGCTCAACGAAAGCCACCATCCAGATCAGCTTGTGTGCATACCAACCAACCACCCAGTTGGTTGAACCATTGTTTCCTTATGTATGATGTTCAAAGGGCCTTAAAGCCTTGGTCTTATCAAACTGTAAAACTGCAAAAGGGAAAAAAGGGAGGTTCGTTGTTGCGTGCATGTATGCATATTTGACGTTTCAGGGCGGACATGCCTGGTCCGGGTTCCTGGCCTCGAGGCGCGCCAACAAAACGTGAGTGGGGCTTGCAGGCTTTTTAACCGTTGTTCAAAGCCAAAGGCGCTGAAGCAACCAACAGGTCTTGCTGCAGATACTGTTACCCTCGCTCGTTCTGATTCGTCCGGATCGCCGTGGGATCCAATAATAGTTTCCCGTGTGTGGTGCGCGCAGTGAGCAAACGAGCGCATCTCATTCCCAGGCAGGAGATCAACGAAGGTGCGAGCCGCCAGAATAGTCAAGGGGTCTCCTTGCTCGCCAACCACTACCGAGCGCCTGCCTTTCCTTTCGCTTGCCCCGGGTCCAAAGGGAAACGAACCGCCAACAAACACCCACAAGGCCTCACATGCTTGCTTCGTTGCTCGACCAAGCGCAGAGTCTGGCCGGTCGCACGGTCCTCTCCATGTTGCCTTGCCTGGTCTCGCCATAGCTTGTACCCCCTCTCCCTGTTCTTGGCGTCTGGTTCAAGGTTTTGCAGCCCGCTCGTGGGCAAGCCGCGTGCCATCACGATGCGCCATGCCCTGCTGAGCTTCGCTTTGCTGAGCCTGGCCACAGTCTTTGGTGCCGGCGCTCAGCAGCCAAGTCTGGACACAGAGCAAAGCTTGGACGATGTCTGGATCTTCCCTGGACAAGCCTGGGTGGGTCACGCCCCGGCCGGCAGCCACTTCGCCCTCACAGACGAGTCACACCCGGCTTGGCTTCAGCTCGAAGCCAACGCGACCACGTTGGCCGCTGCTGCAAGCGTTCAGGCACACATGGGTCAGGCCTTTGTGCAAGTTCTTGATACTCAACAAACTGTGACAGACGTCTTTCGCATCGCTCTTGGTGCAACCCCACTGCCAACATCATCCGGCACTAACTTTGCCTTGACCGTGCAAACCGGCTCTCCATCGTCCCTCACGATTACCGAGCTGGCGCAATTCTTGCTGGGGCTTCAAGCCCAAGTGGACGCCGAGCTTGGCTCCTCTGAAGCTCTCAAAGTACTCTACCAAGGCCAGCGCGTTGTTACTCTCCAAGCCCGTGCGTTCTTTTTTTTCCCCGTCTGACTGGAACGGCTCGGAATGTTCGCTTAAAGATAAATCGTCCAAGATAAAATCGTCGCTCTGCTGCCTATGTTCCTGGCTGGTCGTAGGCTACATGGCGGAGGGCAATGCTGACATGCGCGCGGTCGCGCTTGACCTGCAAGTCATCTCCACACTGTCTCTCAACACGGCACGCGTGGTTGTATCGGATGCCTTGCCCACGTTGGCCAGCCAACTTAACCGAGTGCGAACTCGCCCCCGCGCGATGTGATGTGTCAATGTGTCCCTTTCGGCCAGACGTTCTACTGGCCAAGAAGATGCTCACACCGGCTTTTTCTTTTTTTTTTTCTTGGCGCTTGTGACTTGCATGATTAACCTTGTGTGTACTGTTTTTCACGACGACGGATGCGGCCAAATACGCAGGGTTTCTGGTTCGATCATATGCACGTAGCATCAGCTGAAGCAACGCCAACTCCAGAGCCTGAACCAGCCATCCAAGGCGTCCCCTTGATGCAGTTTCTACCCGTTCCCACCAACGTGGCCCGTGTTCGCCGCGCTGACCCCATCACAACCACGAATGCTCCTACCACAACCGGTATGTATGACTTGATGCAAACCATTTACCAGGCATTGCTTGTGATCGTGCCTGCGAATGTTGTCTTACTTCTTTCAGACACCTCAGTCCAACTCACTACTTGCCGTGTCGTTTGTTTTGCTTTGCAGGGGGGGACGCCCCCATTGACATGGTCCTCGTCATCGATGGCTCGGGCAGTATGGGCCATGCAGCATATAATCGTTCCCTAGACAACGCAGCCGCCTTGGTGTCGCGTCTAGCCCTGGCGAGCTCTAATATCCGGTTCGAGGCGAAGCGTCCCACCCACCCGCCACACACACAAGCACACCACTTGTTTTCTCATGGACTTGAAGACAACATCAAAACTCACCTCGCCTGTATCATCTTTGTAGCGTGGCAGCTGTTGAACTCAAGGGCACGCCAATCACCATCTTTGATTTTGACGAGTATTCTTCAACCAACGATATGCGCAATGTGCGACCACCACCTACCTACGCCTGCCGCAATTCAATACACGAATAGCAGACAGTGTCCCTCACCAACATCATTCGGCTTCCCTCTCGATAGGCATTTCTGGCTCACAAGAGCCGATACGTTGAGAACCGAGGCAGCAATGTCGCTGGCACGTTGGATTTCATCCGGAGCGAGATTCTCGTTTCCAACAAAGGTCCGTCCGACATGCCAAATTGCGAGATCACGAGCATGCCCTTTGATACTGGCCAGCTGACTTAATCATTGTCCTTTTCTTCCTGACTCTACTTCTTCTGCCACAGGTCATCGCCTTTTTGCCGACATCCCGACCATTATTTTTACGGATGCGCGTGCATCGCAATCTGACATCTTTATCGAAGAAGCTGCACAGCGCTTGCGCAGCGTTGGGGGTCGCCTTTTCGTGTTTGGCATCGATATCAATACTGAAGCACAGGAGCAGCAACTACTTTTTATCGCGGGCTCGAACGAAGGTGTGCTGAATCTGACCGCATTCGAGGCCAGCCAGGTTTCCAATGATGAGGCAAGCATTGAGTTTATGATGCAGACAATTCTCGATACAAACATCAGCGCGAATCCAACCACGCTGCCCGCAATGGATTCTCTGTGCAACAATTCGGTGGACGTTGTCTTTGTACTGGATACGCTGGACTCTGCCACCAACTCTATCGGGTCCAAACGAGACTTACTGGCTGATCTCGTTGATGATTTGCGCCTTCGCCATGATCAGACGAGGTAGGACCGTTGAGCCTCAGAGTCGCATCGCATCCAATACTTCATCACCCGCCACACAATCTCACTGTTTTTGCTTTTGCTCACAGGGCTGCCGTGCTTGTGGACGAGGGGAGTCCACGCATTGTCTTTGGCCTTGATCAGTACGACAGCAGTGCCGGTGCTTCTCGAACCATTCACAATGGCCCGCTACTCGCCACATCGACGATCAACACCAGTGCCATTCCAGCCTTTATTGATAATACGTTTGGTTCGGCATTTCGTGCAAACGTATTACGCGTAGTCGCGTGGGTCTTGCCAAGCGATGCTGAAACAGATTCCTTGGTCGTGCAAGCGTCGCTCGAGAATTTGGCCCTGCGCGGTTACACGGTTGTTGTCTTGGTGGCATCGGATACAGTTTTGGATGTGTCTGAACTCCCGGTGTCCCGCTTTGATCCCAATGATGAAACTTATGATGCAATGAATGTCGTTGACTTGGGAATCTGCGATCAGGCGATTGTGGCCACCACACCGTCGAGCACCGTGCTTCCAACACCGACCATCTCCGTTGGTCTCAGCAGCACAATTGTGCCTACCCCCACCATTACAAGCTCGAGCATTGGGTTGACAACATCATCTCTAGCTAGCACGAGTACCTCAACCTTGTTGAGCAGTAGCTCCGCCATGTTGTCATCGACACTCCAGCCGGTGAGCAGCACCAGCAGCGTTGCGCCATCAAGCACCAGCATTGTCGTATCCCCCAGCCCCAGCGCCACGGTCGTGCCACAGTTCTGTGACTTTACCGAGCAGGACGTGGTCCTCGTGCTGGACATGTCCGGAAGCGTGGATGTAGCTGACTACAACCGGATGCTGCAGGTGGCGCGCGCCACCATCAACAGCCTGCCCATCAATGAGGGCCTGGTTCGAGCTGCTCTAGTCTTGCTCAAGGGCACGCCGAGTAGCCCGGTCTCGCTGGCTCAGGGCACAAGCCGCGAGGCTTTGCTGGACGGCGTGGACAACCTCGTGTACTCGAGCACACGTCCGTCTGCCGCGGCTACCACGTTGGCGTACGTGCGTGAGACGGTGCTGACGGCAGCCAACGGATATCGCGGGGGGCAGGCCACAGTGCTGCTGTTTACGGATGGTGACTCGCAGGAGCCGTTTACGCAGGTTGAGGCGGAGGCTCAACAGCTCCGCGCCCTGCCTGGCGGCGTGAAGATTGCCACAGTGGGCTTCCCTGTGGATCCTGTGGCCAGTTCGGAGATTGACGTGGACACGCTGGCAGCGTTGACGGGTTCGCTTTCCCTCGTGTATGATCAGAACGACCTGGTATCGCTTTTGACGTCGGGGATGGCGTCGGCGTTCCAGGATGCGTTCCTTCGGGACCTGTTTTGCGTCGTACTCACCAGCACTGTGGCGCCGACCTCAAGCTATGTGGCCAGCACTTTTGCTCCCTCGTCATCTTTTGTGGCCTCAACCTTCGCGCCATCGTCGACCTCCTTCCAGCCCTCCATCATCTCCAGCACCTCTTCCGTGGCCCCTTCCCCGATTTCATCGAGTACAGTCTTGCTGTCCTCGACTTTCTTGCCGTCATCCGTGCTTTCATCGGGGATCTCAACATCGTCGCTTGTTGAGCCCATATCCTCGTCGTCAGTTGCGCCGGTGTCCTCTTCGGTGTTGCTCACCCCGACCGTTTCATCGTCATACGCGATCTCTTCGTCTCTACTGACGGCAACGCCTTCAGTCAGTTTGTCGCCAAGTACAAGCGCCACGGCCACAGCCAGCCCGCAGTCAAGCTTCTCGGTTACCTCAAGCGTCGATCTGACTGCCACGCCGACGGCTTCCAGTATTTTCTCAACCAGCGTGTCACTTTCGGCCACGCCAACGGTGTCCTCGACCCCAGTCTCGATTCCCATCTCCAGCTCCAGTACACTGTTGTCGTCGTCGATCCCGTCAAGCCTTTCCAGCTCAATTACATCCAGCCCATTGGTGACACCGTCAGCATCCACCTCGAGTGTCTTTGCCACTTCGTCTTTGTCGCCCACGACAACATTGCCTGCGCCTTCCTCGACCGTTTCCTCAAATCTGGGTTCATCGTCGGTTGTCACATTCTCTACCGTGTCTAGTGCTTCAACCTCGTCGCCCGTCACATTCTCTACCGTGTCTAGTGCTTCAACCTCGTCACCCGTCACATTCTCTACCGTGTCTAGTGCTTCAACCTCGTCACCCGTGCTCTCAAGTTCTAGCGCTACTTCAGTGGTTCCGAGTGCAAGCACGTCGACATCCATTCAACCTTCAACTTCAGTGGCCGCCTCAGTTTCAACCTCGGCGTTTTCCTCAGTTTCGGTGTCATCTTCTTTGGGTTCATCGGCCTCCATGACGGCTTCGAGCAGCTCGTTTGCTTACTCGTCTGTGGTGCCGTCCACCGCCTCGCTTTCACCGTCGGCAAGCGCGACGGCTTCTTCAGGATTCAGCAGTACCGTGACTACATCGGCATCTTCCAGCTCAGGATTTTTGTCATCGACGGTGACCTCCAGTTTGGCGCCATCTTCAACGGTTCTTTCCTCGCTTAGTGCATCGAGCAGTGCATCTGCAACACCGACAACCTCTATCGCACCCTCGGCCTCGGCCTCGCCCACGGCGTCTCCCTCGCCCTCGGCCTCGCCAACGCCAACGCCAACGCCAACCCCTGTGCTATCGCGGCCTTTCCTGCTCAATGCTTTGCCACGAGACTTGGTGGCGCCCGTACCTGCTGGCGTCTTCTCCTATCAAGTGCCAGATGACACGTTCTGGGATCCTGAGGATGGCTTTGCATTGTCGTTTAATGTGGCCTCTTTTGGCCCAGCTGCCAACTGGCTGCAGTACGTGGACGCAATGCGCACCTTCTTTGGCGCCCCAACGGCTGAGGAGGCTGGAGCGTACGCATATCAACTGACTGCGGTTGACTCTGACGGTTTAGTGTCTGATCCCACACATTTGTTGGTTGTGGTGCCTGTGGACACGACCGTGGACAGCGTGCTTGAGGTGGAAATGGAGATAACAACGGCCGGTTCCGGGGAGGCAGCCCCCAACTCACGCCGCCGCGCTGATTGCACCACGACCTTGTCGCCTCTGGATCGCGTGGCTCTACTCGAGGCTGCAGATGACGTGGTGCCCGCGGCCGATTTTGCAATTCAGTCGATTGAGACGATTGAAACGGCAGGTGGTTGCGGGGTCCGAGTTCGGCTGCGTGATCATAATGCTTCGGATTGTAGCGTTGGTGAATCACGCGGGCAGCTCATCGAAAACTCGGCCGCACGCCTACAAGAGGCCGTTAATGCGGTCAGCAGCAACCCATTGGTGATTGAATCTGTGGAAGCTGTGGTAGAGGAATGTCAAGTTTTGGCAGCACCAACACCTCGAAGCGCGGCCGAACGGGATCTGCGGTCATTTGCCGTGCCATTTATCGCAATTGCCATGGTGTTGTTGCTGGCCTGTATTCTTCTCTTTGTGGTTTTGCGGCGAGTGCGCACCAAGGGCGAGACCGATGCGCTGTTCGGTCCTCGTAAACCCGTCTTACTACCCACCGATCGAAATGTAAGTGTTCGTGTTGCTTGGGGTTCCCTCCTGGTCCCGAGAGCAAATGTCGTTTTGACAAGCTTGGGGAAGAAAAAAAAAAAAAAAGGAAAAGCCTCCTTTGCTCTGCTTGCTCACCGCTTCCATTTTTGGTGTTTGACTTTTCTGCGCAGCTGCCTCGCAACGAGATTGCGACGACTTCACCCAAGCTGCTGGCATCTGGTCCTTGGGGTTACGATGCTGTTGGCACGGACATATTTGCTTCGGAAGGTGATGAACCAGCGGCTCCCCAACCGTCAGCTACGCACAAAAGCAAGGAGCTGTTTGGAAGCGCCCCACCTTATCGTCCGCCTCCGGCCTATCCCTCGGCTCTCTATTCGGAGGACGGTGGTCCCTTTGGTTCGTAGCTGCCTCACTGTGATGTTCTTTGTTTGTTTGTTTGTTTGTTTGTTTTACTTGTTTCAATTTGTTCCAAGTGATTCAAGTTCATCTTGCGTCCATGTGTGCTGGACACCATCTCTTTTGTGCGTGTGCGTGTGCAGAGTCCGTAGGAGGAATGAATGAACAATATGGACCGGATATGATCACGACCATCACGACAACGACAACGACGACAACCCAGTATGGCGCCTTCAAGCCGGCTCCCCCGTACCTGGAGCCCCCAGACTACGCCACTGCTATGAGCGACCCAACTGAGGGTTACGAGGAGCCAGCACTGACCCGCTTTGCGGCTGCCAATGACCCCAGCCGGCCAAGCGGTCGGTATGGACTTCCTCGCGGTTCGTCTCGATATGAAGAAGAATAGTCGGCGAACTGCCTTAGGTGTTTGTGAGTAATGTGAAAGTCACTTTTACACTACTTTTGTGGCGCCGTCCTAAATTTCTCTTTACACATGCGTCCACTTGCACATTCACGTATATCTTGATATGTGGCGAGTTGGGGTTGCTCTTGTATCATACACTGCGACTGAAGCTGAGCCAGGTCGTGGGCAATTCATCCATCAATATCCTCATGGTCGTCGTCAAGGATGATGAGAAATCTTTTCGACAGGAGCTAATCCTCATTGAACTCCAACAAGTTGCCAGAGGCAGTCAAACAAAGTCGGGGTCAAATGACTCTCGGAAGGTGCTGTCAACAACAACAGGCATTAAAGCGTAGCAGGAAGTACAGTACATGTACAATCGACAGGCGACTTTTCTGCTCCAGAACGTTTTAACGTTGAAAACGGGGAAAAACTCTCAAAAAACTCTTACTCTTTCCATTGTCGTTGTCGTTGCTCGAAGCCAAGTCAAAGTACATGTAAATCTCCAGGCATTGGAGCTTGATAACATCCTTTAATCGGAGGCAGGAAGGCGGAGCTTTCGGGCGAGACAGACAGACAGACAGACAGAGGCAGACAGAGTCAGACAGAAGCAGACAGAGCCAGACAGAGGCAGACAGAGGCAGACAGAGGCAGACAGAGGCAGACAGAGGCAGACAGAGCCAGACTGTTAGCGTCAAATCCGTGCTTCCAACAAGTGGCCTCCGGCTGTGCTGGAGCCTAACAGAGACAGAGGAAGAGAAGAGCGAAAAGAACAAAACCAGCCAGGATGCCAAAACAGCAGAGAATTGGAGAAAAAATATTACGAAACCATGTCGAAATTCTTTATCCCACAAAACACACACTCTTGTTTTGGCTGACAAATTCGCTCCACACACACACACAGAAGAGGAGTGAGTGGAGATGGCACGAATCACGAAGGCACACCTTTTTTCGAATGCAACGCACAACTTTCTCACACATAAAAAAGGTGATATAGTCGCGTAATACCCATACAGAGTGGCAGCAATGCACATCTTTTGTCTTCCACACACTTATGGCTCACTCACGTTGCTGTGACCTTGCGCGTCCCACACCTGCGATCAAGCAGACTTGAGATTTTTTTTCCCATTTTTTTTTTTTTTTTTTTTTTTTTTGCTGTTGCTGCGATTGCTCGGGGATCGTTGATCGTGGTGAGTGTGGTGTAAACGGCAGTCGGGCCTGAACGGGGATGAGGGTCAAGTTGCAGTCAGCTTGGGAGAGTGGGATCGGGTGGGAGGCGATGAAGAAGCCCGGTCATGGAGATGAAGTGACGCTCAAGATACACACAGCTGGGGATGGGAGCGAGCAAGTGATCAAGTGGTGGATGAAACTGGAGACGTCACAGAAGGCCATGCAGAAGGCCACCGCTGCCATTCCAACGATCCTCGCCTGCCTCACGCGGACGGTCTCATAACGAACCCGTTGGACTATAGGTGATACAACACTTTGAGCGACAAGACGTGTCTGGTGTGCGCAGCACGAAAATCCCTCCTCTGTGAGGGGGGGAGGGAAGCCTCTTTCGTTCTTGCTCGGGTGAGCCGCCATTGCTGTTTAGGCCCCTCAAATCCTGGTTTCCCAGACCTCACGCTACAACGATTGCACTGATTTGACCCTGGACAACACTCATTCATCGATCATCTGTCATTCTCATACTAACAGGTCTTAGCATCCAAGAAATGGCGATCCAGTTGTTCAGCTGCCGCCAGGCCGCCCTAATTTTTGTTCTAGTCCTCGCACTTGCAACACACATCAAGGCTTTTGGTAGGTCACTTCCTCTCGCGTCGCCTCAAATTTATTTGCAAACCAATGAAAGCCCACCCTTGGCCCCCCCTTCTTGCCATGCCGTCGCTGATTCGTGTCCATCAACCACACGCCCACGCATCGTTTGGGCCGGCCAGCCAAGGATGTCTCGCTGTTTGACATGTGAATCTCATTACCTCGGCATACTTTGGCTTTTGGCTTCCTAGAGTGCTCGCCCAACTCTTGTGTGCATGGCTACTGCAACAACGTGACCACAGAATGCGTCTGCGACGCGGGCTTCGTTGGACCCATGTGCTCCTTTGAGCTCTGCAACAATTTGGCCACCACGCGACCAGGCCTCAGTGTGGACCTTTACAACGACTACAACTTCAAATCCATGGGAGGCGGCTCAGTGAGCTGGCCAAACATTAATTTTAATTGGGGCTACGGCGCACCTTCCCCCCTGCCCAGTGATAGTTTCTCAATTGTCGCAACCGGCCAGGTTCGCGCTCACCGCGACGGTTACGTCAAGTTCCAATGCCGTTTCCGAAACGGCGCCTGCCGGTTGTTTATCAACAAAACCGAGACAACAGCAAATACCGCGTTTTTTGTGACCGCTGGTCAGGCCCTTCGTCTCAAAGCAGAATTCCAGCATGGCAGCTATGAGACATATTGGTATTTGGATTGGTCGGATGGCCTGGCCACGGCCGACTCTGCGGCCTCATTCGTCATTATACCGGCCGAGAACCTTGAAAGAGAAATCATTTGTCCTGATGGTTGCTCCGGACAAGGCTGCTGCGAAGAGAACGAGCGCTGCTACTGCCCCGAAGGCATGACAGGGCCTGACTGCTCAGTCCTAATATCCACCGCAACGTGCGGCGCTGAGTATCCAGTGCTACCCTATGTACCGGGCGGCGTCAATATCGCCCTTTACAATGACTATACATTTGGTTCTGGCCAACCTGCCATTGTCCAGTTGCTGCAGCGAAGTTTAACTCTTTCACCTGGTTACGGCTCGCCTGCCAGTGGCATCCCAACTGATTACTGGTCGGCAACCTTTTACGGCCAGCTGCGCATCAACACGACTGGATGGTACTCATTCAGCACAGGCGTGGCGCAAGGTTCCGCAAGCCTGCTTCTCGGGCCACACTCACTCATCCTGCCCACGACTGGCTCAACCTCAAGATGGGTTTACCTTGTGATGGACCGGAGATATGACCTGCGTGTGGATTACAAACATAACGTGTATGCTGCGTCTTTTGCCCTGCAATGGACACCGCCAGGACAAGCATTGCAAAACATTCCCGTCACAGAGCTCTTTACACCAACTGCCGGCAGCTGGTGCCAACGCGAGTCCACATGCAACGACCGTGGCTTGAATCTCAACGGTCTCTGCCATTGCGACAGTATTTACGAAGGTGCATCCTGCGAGTATTTCCAGTGTCGGTCGGACGAGTGCCGCTTCAGCGACAGCTGCCACGACCCGGCGTACGGGAGCAACGATGCTGAGTGCAATGGCCAGGGCCGGTGCGTGGCGGGCGTGTGCGAGTGCAATGACGGGTTTGCGGATGAGAGTCAATGCACGCGCACGGGCTGCGAAACGGATGAGGCTTGCTCAGGACACGGCGCATGCGGGGACAACGGCCAGTGCGCATGTGATGCCGGGTGGATGGGCGAGGCATGCGAGCTGACGGTGTGTGGGGATGATCGAGCTATTTTGCCGGGTCTGCTGGTGACGTATTACAATGGCTACTCGTTTGATGAGCGTCGCATTGAGGTGGCCGAGCCGTCAGCGTACCGGGACATTGGCTACAATGCACCGCACCCGGATGTGCCTGCCGATTCGTTCAGCGTGACGTATGTTGGGTTTTTGCGACCCAAGGAGGCGGGCTGGTATCGGATGCGGCTGCGGTGCACGCGCGGGGCATGTGGCATGTACCTGAACCAGAGTGCCTATACGGATAGTGGGAATGCGGTGCTCATTGGCCGGGGCGAGATGGTTCGCCTGAAGCTGGAGTGGCAGCACTCGAACTACGACACCTATTTTTTCTTTGAGTGGATGGGGCCGTATGCGAGTGCTGCAGAGGCGCAAGCGGCTGGCGCGGCGGCGTTTGAGCAGGTGCCTGCGCATGCATTGGTTCATGAGGCGGTGTGTACGGGGGGCTGCTCTGGCCGTGGTTGCTGCGTGGCCTCGGACACCTGTGCATGCGAGGTGGGGTATGGCGGCGCAAGCTGCGAGGTTGATCTTGCAACGTGTGGCGCTGATGCGCCAGATGGAGCGCTCGTCTCTGGGGGTCTGCGGGCGCGCTATTATGCTGGGTCATTGACCGACCCTTTGCAAACTACGGCAACTCATGTGGATGGCGGTGTTGTCCAGCGGCTGAGCCTGGATTGGGGGTATAGTGCGCCCGTGTCTGGGATTCCCAGTGACTACTGGACTGGGGTGTTTTTCGGGCGGATCGTGTCGGAGCAGACGGGGTGGCATCGGCTGCGCGTGACGGCGGGCTCAGTGGCCGTCCAGGCCTTTGTGGGTGGTGTACTCGGCACAAGATGCTCCATGAATCCAGGCCCCTCCCAGTACACCCACAGGCCGGCCTCATAATTGCCATCGCGCACGTCTACACGGATGTCGTAGCTCCGATCTGCAATCAAATACACAGACTGCGTCCAAGAGCCAGTCCAAGAAAACAATCGCACAGCATTGTATCACTACGAGGAGGGCTTTATGTGTGGGTGTGGAGCCAGTGGCTGCAGTGGTGAATCGCGCGGCGTATGCGTGGGAGCTAGCTGTGCGTGTGGCGGGCAGTATAGCGGTGCATCCTGCGAGTATTTCCAGTGTCGGTCGGACGAGTGCCGCTTCAGCGACAGCTGCCACGACCCGGCGTACGGGAGCAACGATGCTGAGTGCAATGGCCAGGGCCGGTGCGTGGCGGGCGTGTGCGAGTGCAATGACGGGTTTGCGGATGAGAGTCAATGCACGCGCACGGGCTGCGAAACGGATGAGGCTTGCTCAGGACACGGCGCATGCGGGGACAACGGCCAGTGCGCATGTGATGCCGGGTGGATGGGCGAGGCATGCGAGCTGACGGTGTGTGGGGATGATCGAGCTATTTTGCCGGGTCTGCTGGTGACGTATTACAATGGCTACTCGTTTGATGAGCGTCGCATTGAGGTGGCCGAGCCGTCAGCGTACCGGGACATTGGCTACAATGCACCGCACCCGGATGTGCCTGCCGATTCGTTCAGCGTGACGTATGTTGGGTTTTTGCGACCCAAGGAGGCGGGCTGGTATCGGATGCGGCTGCGGTGCACGCGCGGGGCATGTGGCATGTACCTGAACCAGAGTGCCTATACGGATAGTGGGAATGCGGTGCTCATTGGCCGGGGCGAGATGGTTCGCCTGAAGCTGGAGTGGCAGCACTCAAACTACGACACCTATTTTTTCTTTGAGTGGATGGGGCCGTATGCGAGTGCTGCAGAGGCGCAAGCGGCTGGCGCGGCGGCGTTTGAGCAGGTGCCTGCGCATGCATTGGTTCATGAGGCGGTGTGTACGGGGGGCTGCTCTGGCCGTGGTTGCTGCGTGGCCTCGGACACCTGTGCATGCGAGGTGGGGTATGGCGGCGCAAGCTGCGAGGTTGATCTTGCAACGTGTGGCGCTGATGCGCCAGATGGAGCGCTCGTCTCTGGGGGTCTGCGGGCGCGCTATTATGCTGGGTCATTGACCGACCCTTTGCAAACTACGGCAACTCATGTGGATGGCGGTGTTGTCCAGCGGCTGAGCCTGGATTGGGGGTATAGTGCGCCCGTGTCTGGGATTCCCAGTGACTACTGGACTGGGGTGTTTTTCGGGCGGATCGTGTCGGAGCAGACGGGGTGGCATCGGCTGCGCGTGACGGCGGGCTCAGTGGCCGTCCAGGCCTTTGTGGGTGGTGTGCGATTGTTTTCTTGGACTGGCTCTTGGACGCAGTCTGTGTATTTGATTGCAGATCGGAGCTACGACATCCGTGTAGACGTGCGCGATGGCAATTATGAGGCCGGCCTGTGGGTGTACTGGGAGGGGCCTGGATTCATGGAGCATCTTGTGCCGAGTACAGCATTGTATCACTACGAGGAGGGCTTTATGTGTGGGTGTGGAGCCAGTGGCTGCAGTGGTGAATCGCGCGGCGTATGCGTGGGAGCTAGCTGTGCGTGTGGCGGGCAGTATAGCGGTGCATCCTGCGAGTATTTCCAGTGTCGGTCGGACGAGTGCCGCTTCAGCGACAGCTGCCACGATGCTGAGTGCAATGGCCAGGGCCGGTGCGTGGCGGGCGTGTGCGAGTGCAATGACGGGTTTGCGGATGAGAGTCAATGCACGCGCACGGGCTGCGAAACGGATGAGGCTTGCTCAGGACACGGCGCATGCGGGGACAACGGCCAGTGCGCATGTGATGCCGGGTGGATGGGCGAGGCATGCGAGCTGACGGTGTGTGGGGATGATCGAGCTATTTTGCCGGGTCTGCTGGTGACGTATTACAATGGCTACTCGTTTGATGAGCGTCGCATTGAGGTGGCCGAGCCGTCAGCGTACCGGGACATTGGCTACAATGCACCGCACCCGGATGTGCCTGCCGATTCGTTCAGCGTGACGTATGTTGGGTTTTTGCGACCCAAGGAGGCGGGCTGGTATCGGATGCGGCTGCGGTGCACGCGCGGGGCATGTGGCATGTACCTGAACCAGAGTGCCTATACGGATAGTGGGAATGCGGTGCTCATTGGCCGGGGCGAGATGGTTCGCCTGAAGCTGGAGTGGCAGCACTCGAACTACGACACCTATTTTTTCTTTGAGTGGATGGGGCCGTATGCGAGTGCTGCAGAAGCGCAAGCGGCTGGCGCGGCGGCGTTTGAGCAGGTGCCTGCGCACGCATTGGTTCATGAGGCGGTGTGTACGGGGGGCTGCTCTGGCCGTGGTTGCTGCGTGGCCTCGGGCACCTGTGCATGCGAGGTGGGGTATGGTGGCCCTCGCTGCCAGACCTCTGAGCTATCTTGTGCATTATCTTCACCCGTGCCTCGTGGTGCTTTGAGCCCTGGCCTTCAGGTTCGGTATTATAACGGCGTGCTTGAGGACGCCATATCAAGTGGCCCTCAGACAGCTTCATCTCGTGCGGACACGATCAACGTGAACTACGGTTACAATCCTCCTTTTGCAGGTGTTAATTCCGATTATTTCACTGTTGTCTGGACCGGTCGTATCTTAGCCCCCCAATCTGGATGGTACACCTTTCGCCTCACATGTGGGAGCATGTCTGCGCGCCTTTTCGTTGGTAATATCAAGCTTATTGACTGGACCTCGTCTTGGTCGCAAAGCATCTATCTCGTGCAAGGTCGCTACTACGAGCTTCGATATGATGCTCAAGACGGCTCCTATGAGGCGTCGACACAACTGTATTGGACGGGACCCGGGTTCATGGAACATCTGGTTCCCGGCACCGTGCTTTTTGCCTACAATGACACGGCCAGCTGCACCTGTGTTGATGATTGTACGCAACCCTCTCAAGGCGTGTGCCTTAACGGATATTGCAGTTGTGCCGGTCCGTACGCGGGTGACACATGTGCAGCTTTGCAGTGTCGGGTAGATGAATGTCGCTACTCAGATGACTGTTTCGACCCAAGCAAAGGTTCTGCCTATGCACAGTGCAGCGGGCGTGGTGTGTGTGACAATGGAATGTGCATGTGTGCGGAGAGCGGGAGCGTGCAAGTCGCATGCACAACCGATGCCTGCCCTGGTGACGGCACGTGCGGGCCTCACGGCTTTTGCACACCCTCTGGATGTCACTGTGACGCCGGCATGTTTGGTAATGCATGCCAGTATTATGAAGACAGCGGCAGCGGGCTATGGCCAGGGGTGCACCTGCAATTTTTCAATGATGTGACCATGTCCGTGGCCGTTGCGTCAACCATCTCGGATTCTGTGCACGGCTCGTGGCCTGGAAGTCCGTTTCCCTCTGTCAATTCAGACCGTTTTGGTCTGTCGTATCAGGGTCACGTACTTTCCTTGGGGGTTGGGTGGTATAGAGTGCGCTGCACTACGTCAAGTATGTCATGTACCTGGTCATTCAATGCGACTACCGGTAATGTCGTGTATTTTGGAGATGGCTGGGTGCCATTTTCAGTGAATGCAACTCACACGACGTCCACTGCAACCCTGTCTCTTCAACTCTCGGGTCCATATGAGAACCAGACCATGGCTGGCAAAGCAGTCAACTTCTGGAGCCTCGAAAACTGGCAGCTTGGCCATATTGTAACTTGTGCAGAGGCTTGTGTTCACGGTCGATGCAATGGTGTCGGTGTCTGCGAATGTGATCCCGGTTGGTCTGGGAGCGACTGCAGCACGTCGCTTCCACAATGTGGGCCTTCTGCGCTTGTTCCAATCGGCGGTGCCATTGCGCGCTATTTTGAGGACCGTACCTTCAACACGTTAATCGGTACAAGCAGCGTTGAGAGATTGGGGCAAGATTTTGGTACTGGGGCGCCCTCCGCCAACGCTCCCGTGAACTACTTTGCCATTCGCTACGAGGCATTCCTCTCACTCCCGAACGATGGCTGGTACCGCTTTCGGTTATCCACCGGCAATATGGAGGGGACGTTGCGAGTCGCCGGACAGCTAGTTATACCGACTTCATCCGGATTTAGTCACGAATTGTTTTTGCGAGGTGGGGTTGAGCACCCCCTTGTATTCCAGATCTACGAAACCAATCGTTATGAGTGTAGCTTTGATTTGAATGTTCGAGGCGAGAACAGCTACGAAGTGGACCTGGACTCGCTCTCTCTGCATTACTACTCTGGCTCGTGTGGTTGCTTGCCATGTGATTTAGCTGCTGTGAATGACTATGATCCCGTCTTTGACTCGGGTTCCGTGGAAAATCTGACCATTCAGGAGGGGCGCCTCGGTGCAGTTCGGTGGCTTGCAGCGATTGATCCAGACACTGGCGATGCCTTTGGCATGTCCTACACCCTCGTTACTGATCCTACTGGCTGCTTTGGCATAAACAACGTTACTGGAGCATTGTCCTTGCTCTGTGTCCTGCGAAAGGCAAACGAACCAGCCTTTGCACTCGCCGTGCAAGCTTCGGATTCAGGCTCACCTTCTCGAAACACCACAGCGCAACTTTACATCACAGTAGAGTGTGCCGAGGGATTCGTTGGTCCCAATTGCTCTGATTGTTCGGTGGGCTATGGAGGCTCCACTTGTGCTGCTTGTGTTGCGTGTTCTAGTCATGGACAATGCGGAGAGGAGGGTCTGTGTTATTGCACCTCTGAGGTCTTTACGGGGCCATCGTGCGAAGATTGCATTGATCGTCACTACGGCGGTGCCTGTGAGCCTTTACCTTGGCTGTTCAGCGTTGTGCCCTCAACTGGCCTTGACTTGGGGAGCACAAAGGTGGCCTTGACGATTCACAATATGCCAGAGGCGCGGACCAATCCTATTTGTTCCTTTGCTGACATTCAAGTAGCTGCAACCATCGAAGACAACGCGACGGTCACCTGCCTGGCGCCTCGTCATGAGCCGGCGGCAGTTGCGATCAAAGTTTCCTTTGATGGTGGCATGTCGTGGATCGGGCCTGCTGTGGGCATACCCTTCACCTACGTTGGCAATTGCCCTCAAACGGATTGTCCACCAACTCGGGCGAATTGTGTCTTTGGCAAGTGTTATTGCAAGCTGCAGTATTTTGGCGATAAGTGCGCACAGCAATACGTGCAGCCCAAAATCAAGGCAGTCAGCAATAGTGAGGTGCTTCCGGGCGCAGCGTATTCCCAGCGATTGGATTTGCAAGCTGGAAACGGTGATATTCATTGGGTTCTCATGCAAGCTCCATCGGGGGCATACATGGATGGGGCAACTGTTATTTGGCCCATGACTTTTGGTGCCCCAGTGCCACACGTTTTTCGCGTGGAGGCACGAAACACCTATGCCACGGGTTCGACAGAGTGGAAGGTCAATGTTCCCTTCTCTTACAAGACCAGCATTCATGCTACTGGTTTATCGGGCGTTCGCGGCTCACCCGCCCTTCTTAAGCTTCAAGGTTTTGTGAATCAAAGTCGGCCTGATATCCGTCTCGACACAGTTGGCAACCTTGGCATCAAAATTTGGTTAGTCATTGCAGCTCACACCTGAGCATCAAACTCTTAAAAAAAAATTCTTTTTTGCTTTGTTTCTTTTGCTTCCTCACATACTTGTCTTGTTTTGCTTGGGACCCTGAAGGCTTGTTCGAGCCGGCGCATCCGGGCGCCGAGTTGCACCGCAGAGCACGATTCTGACGGTCAAGACGATGGAAAGTGGCCAGTTTGCATTCAACCTGAGCCTTCAAGACGTCGGTGTCTACACAATCGTAAGTGCGTCCGAGGCAGTAAAGAAAGAACGCTGTCGCTACTGAAATCATGATTGAAAAGGACTTGGCTAAATTTTGCTTTGCATGCTTGCAGGGCGTTTCACACGTAGATGCGACAGCTCCAGAAGATCAGCGAAGCTTTGAGCTTGCAGGTTTGGTGGGGTCTGCATCATCGGTGGAGGTTTCGTTGATCTCAGGGTACAACGGCACAGTGTTCCTTGCACGAATCACAAACCCGTCTTCAACTACCATCTCAAACATTTCTGTTGCGTTGTCTGGTCTATACGGGTTGGCAATCCCGAGCGGCCTTTCGCTACGAGCATTTACGGATCGGGAGAGTATTGCACCGCGCAGTAGTACAACGTTGCGTCTCGCAGTCACCAGCAATTTTGATTATTCAGGCGTTGTCCTGGTCGCCGTCCGTGTGACGGACCCAGTTTACAACTCCTTCCTTCCGATCAACCTAGCCGTGTCTGTTGTGCCGCCATCTGCTCGTATCCAGACATCCGCCACGTATTTTTCGATTACAGCCGTTCGCAACCAAACAACAAGCCGCTCATTGACGATTACCAACGTTGGAAGTGCGGCAACCCCGGCTCTCGTTGTTGCCGTTCCAGAGGATCAATCCTTAATATCAGTGACAGCGAGCAAGATTGCTCCTTTGGCCCCTCAAGAGAGCGTTGATATTTCCCTGTCGGTGCGCCCGCAAGCTGATGCGGAATTGCAGCGTGGGTCAGCCACTTTGGTGGTGCGGTCTGAGATGCCATCTGCTTTGAACTCTGTGCAAATTCGTTTGGACTTTACAATTTCGAGCAATGCTTCGTACGACGTGGCTGTTGTGGTAGAAGATGAGTACACATTTTTTGCCGACGGTGCACCAAACGTGTCCGCGGCGCTGGTCCGCCTGGTTGGACAAAGTCGAAGCTTCAGCTTACGTGCCACGACGGATCATTCCGGCATGGTAACTTTTGCCAATGTTCCCGAGGGGGTGTACGAGGTGAGCGCACAGGCTCTGGGGCATGCCTCTGATTCTATGCTCATTCGAGTCAACGACGAGCTTGGCTTGACCCACCTCTTTTTGGCGCGCTCGGCTGTGAGCTATGTTTGGACCGTCACACCGACTGAGATTGAGGAAACCTACTCATTCACCTTGGAAGCCGTGTTTGAAGCTCGAGTGCCAATGCCCGTCGTTACCATCGAGCCAAGCTCGATTGATTTGGAGCGGCTCTCGTTTGGAGACGTGACACAACTGGACTTTGTGATTACGAATCATGGCTTGATTGCTGCAGAGAATCCTTTGCTGATTCTTCCAGAAAATCCCTTCGTCTCATTTGTACCCCTGGGTGAACCAAGTGCAGTGATACCAGCAGAGACTACAATTGTGTACTCATATGCCATTATTGTGGATGGTGCTACGCCGGGGGATGATGATGCTGTTGTTCTTGATGACGATGATATCAATGGGGATGACGATGCCACTAGCAACGACCAAGTCACTGACGATGACGATGCCACTAGCAACGATCAAGTCACTGACGATGACGATGCCACTAGCAACGACCAAGTCACTGACGATGACGATGCCACTAGCAACGACCAAGTCACTGACGATGACGATGCCACTAGCAACGACCAAGTCACTGACGATGACGATGCCACTAGCAACGACCAGGTCACTGACGATGACGATGCCACTAGCAACGACCAGGTCACTGACGATGACGATGCCACTAGCAACGACCAAGTCACTGACGATGACGATGCCACTAGCAACGACCAAGTCACTGACGATGACGATGCCACTAGCAACGACCAGGTCACTGACGATGACGATGCCACTAGCAACGACCAAGTCACTGACGATGACGATGCAATCGATGACGACATAAACGATGATGTCCCGGCCGATGATGATATCCCTGCCGATGATGATATTCCGGCCGATGATGATATCCCGGCCGATGATGATGACGGAGCTGGTCCTGGTAGTGCACCAAGTGGGGGCTATGCAAGTGTTTGTTATACTGGCCGATTTTCGTATCAGTATCGCTGCCGAGGCTTGGAAACTCGGGCTCGAGCAATTGAGGTGACTCGTGGCGGTCGGCCATGTTCCTCTTCCGGCATTGCTTCCGGCAAGACCTACTATGGTACACTCGGCAGTTCCAGCTCGATCGTTTACGCTGGAGTTTCCATTGCTTCGTCAGCCGGCTGTGGGGCACCTTGCCAGCTGCGTGATATCTTGAGTAACTGTATCGGAAATCGATGTACAGGTTCCGCCGCCGCCGCTGCGCTGAGCATGCAGTGCAACGATGCGCCTGACCTTGCGAGGCGACTTTCGCGAGCAATCATTGATTGCACAATTGGTGGCTGTCCTGGTGCCGTCGCTAACATTCCTTTCTGTACTACTGACGCGATCGGCATTGTACAGTGCATTGGCAATGTTGTGGTTGGTTGCACTGGTCCTTATGGTGCAGGTAGGCCTTTTTCTTGCCGGCATGTTTTCCGCACACCACCTTTTTTGTGGCATGACGACTGAAATAAAATGTTCTCGATAAAATATTCCTCTGCCGTTGTGGTTATATCTTTTTTTTTCCGTTGGTCTTAGTCTCATACCTCTGTTAATAATGTCCCTTTGCTTTCGAACTTAGCTGCTAGCGCCGGTTTCGGAGCAGCCATGTGCTCTGCAAGTATGGGACAAGCTCTTCAAACTGGACGACGTCGACGAGACATGACGCCTTCCTTCTTCGAGCTCGTTCGTCGAGATGCCGACGAGGATCTTGCTGCAGAGACATTCTTCTTGGCCTCAACGTGGCTAAACAACTATGTGCTGCTGATGCAAGCCATCTTCGGTGTACAAGAGCAAAATTTGGCATTTTCTTACAGCCCTACTTTTCAAGCCCAGCACTTCATGCCAGCCTTGGCTGAGGGCAGTGAGCTGGATTCGCTGATTTCAGCTGGTGAGCTTGTGGATTTGCTCGACGCCACCCCACCTGGCGTCAATGCAAGCGAGCTTGAAGCGTGGCTGTTGCGCTATAATCGCACCGCCACTGCGTGGATATCTGGGAATTTTGAGGCAGAGCCGGGTGCTTTGTTTGACATCGACGAGATTGAGACTCGATTTGTGCAGATGCAAGACGACACGGCGGCTGCTAAACTCATGGGCTACGCGGATATCCTATCGGCCCACCAAGGTCTGCAACAGGTTTGGGAGTCGGCCAAAGAGGCGGCTGCTCGAAAATCTGGTGTCTGTGCTTCAGTTACCATGACGATTGAGCAGGATGTTGTCCTCACACGCTCCGCATTCGAGGCAAAACTTGAGATCTCCAATGAAGATGTTTCAGAGCTAACAAACATTCAAGTTGAGTTTGACATTCGGCACGCTATCACCGGCATCAGTTCACGTGCTGTATTCGAGATTGGCAATGCCAGCTATAGTGGTGGATTGAGTGGAGCGCTAGAGACTGGCACCTTGCCAGGTGGGTCTGTGGGCATGGCAACCTGGTTGATGATTCCCAATGCCCTTGCCGCACCCACGCAAAGCCCTGAAGAATATGCGGTCGGGGGCACGCTGTCATACACTTTGAATGGACTCTCCACATCAGTGAGCTTGTTTCCAGACACCATCACGGTGCGACCCGACCCACGCATGACGATTCACTACTTTTTGCAAGAGTTCATTACGTCTGATGATCCTTTCACCCCCGAAAAGGAGGCTGCATTGCCCGCTGTGCTAGCAGTCGTGCTTCACAACCATGGAAATGGTACTGCAAATGGCATGCGCATTTCCGCTGGACAACCAGAAATCGCTGAGAACGAAAAAGGGCTCTTGATTGGTTTTGAACTGCAGCAAACAGCCATCAATGGCGCGCCTGTCGTTCCACCACAACTGGAAAATGTGGTCCTTGGCGATTTGGAGCCTCATTCGAGCCGCGTCGTCACGTGGAAATTGCTGACCACGCTGCAAGGTCGTTTTACGGCATTCAAGGCTGAGATGCAATACAATAACATTCTTGGCAAGCCCGAGCTGGCACTCATCGAGTCCGTGAGCTCTTATCAGCTCTTGAATATGGCAGCTGTAGCGAATGGGTTTGAATTTGTGGTTCGAACCGGCTCAAATATATTTGCTTTGTTGCATAGCCGCGACCCGCGCGTGATCACTCCTCTCGCCAACCCCACCGGTATTGTCAACAGCGTTTTTGACGATGAGAGTGGAGTGTTGACGTTTGCATCTCAAACTTTAGTCCCAGGGTATCGCCTCACGCAAGTGCGCTTGCCTGCGCGCCAACGCGCCCAACAAGTGCTGCGACGACTCAATGGAACAAGTGTGGATATTGATTCAAGTCGTTTCTGGGTAATACACGTGACGAATCACTATGATGAGACACGTCGCCGGCGGGAGGTCGCGGAAACGATTTCGACGCTATATATCGTTGACAGCACAACTGGCACAGAGCTGATCTCCTACGACGCGCATCTCGTTCCTGATCCCCCGCAGTTGGCCAACAATACTGGTGCAGACGACACTCCGATCAGCACGACCCCTGGCGCGGCTTTAACGTCCATCTCAACCACAGCAAATGGCAACGGCCACGGGAGCACTGGTTACAGCACAAACAGCCCTGATAGTGAGAACGACGATGCTGTTGATGACGACATCCTCGGACAATGGTCGACACTCACCGGTGACAAAGACCAAACCTCAACGACCGTAGACCCAGCACAGGAGAATCGCGACCCGACCGGAGACCGGTCTAAAGCTGCTTTTCCGTTTTGGATCATTGTCGTTGTCATTATCCTGATGCTGCTGATAGTGTTCATGTTGCTCGTTTACTACTGGCGCCGCAGCCGTGTCGGAGCACGGACGACCCCGAGTGGAAAGCACAGCTCCATAGACCCAGGACTCGAACAGCGTACAAACTTTGTCAATCCTGCATATGTTGATCATAGCATGCAAGCCTCTGATGGCATGTACTCGGAGATTTCGGCTCAAGACCAGCGTGCTGTGATTAATCCGTTATATTCGGATGTGCAGGGAGAATCTGTTTCACCTGTGAGTGCCCAGGCGTCCTTTGAGCCGCAGAGTGGCTATGGTACATCCAATGGCCAGTACTTTGATCCTCGTAAATCAGCAGATCACTATTTCGATCCAAGTGGTTCAACCCATTCCAAGAACGGCGAGGTAGATTACTTCGATCCACGCCTTGGTGGGGCATCAGAATACTTTGATCCAAGTCATGGCAGGAACGAGGCAGAGTACTTCGACCCGCAAGCTAGACAAGCAGCCCTCTTTTCAACAGAAACGCTTCGAGGCACTGCGACGACATCGATTCTGCGCCAAGATAATTATTTTGACCCCCACGCTCTTCGTGCGGCGGGAGCACGCGAGTTAATGGGCGATGATGATACTCTGTATGCTGACGGTGTTGAGGTTGGTGCTATGCAGTCTATTCCCCATTTTGAGCCATTTGAGGAGGTAGAAGACGACCGTGAAGGTTATCTTGAAGTCACCGAAGAGTCGTCATAAGCGGCCGGCGCCATAATGCCACAGAAGTACATTGACATGTGAACCAAGATGCCATCAACGTTAACATGTAAATCTTTGGTTTTTTTTTGAGGTCTTGGATAGTAGGACTGAAAGTCTGTGAACTGCACTCGTCTTTTTTGCTGTTTTTCAAATTTGGTTGGTGATGCAGTTCCATCACCGTTTGGTGTGGTTTCAAAACGGCAGCGTTATTCCTGAATTAACTTATGCCAATTCGTTTGCTGGTACACGTAGCTGCAACTGCTTTAGTATGATGTGTTGCTCTGGCGATCAGGGATTCCGCATGCGTCTCGAAAAAAAATCGTTTAAAATCAATGAAATTTCATCATTATTCAAATGCTCGCAAGTAGGGCCGCAAATACATGTACATTATTTCTAAATCTCTGGTATTTGGTAAGGTACTTCGAAGAGAAATGACTTTCACGCTCAAAGTGCGACCGAGCATTATCGGCAAGTCGTGTGACCACCCCAAATTCACCTTTGACACACAACCAAAGTGAAAATGATTTGAATTAATCTTTCTCGTCATCAGGCACACCCAGGGGAATTTCAACTTTGCTGAAGACTTTTCTGGTTCATGGAGTCTGCTCTTGGAGGAGTTCTCAAGCTCGTGTTGCCAAACAATCAGCTGCATTCTGGCCCGCATTCTGTCATACTCGGGCGGCACCTCCGGCTAGTTTTGTGCGATGATGAATCCACTCTAAGATTGCAGAGTGGCTCTCGTTGAATTGAGCCACACGTGGCTGATTAGGGAACACAAATCTATGATGTAACAAAACAATGACCGGTAAACTAATGTAACTACTGCAGGTTTTCAAAGTCGGGGGCGCATGTCTCCACGTCCAAGAGATTAGGCTTTCTGAAGTAATCCGGATCCATCAGGTAGATTCGATATCTAAGATTTGTGGGCGCACACAGACGCACATGCCACCATGTTTCAATGAGTAAACAATCTGTAGTTCATCTGGAGGCTCGCTCGCACTTTGCATCCCACACGAGTACGCCACCCCCTCAAGACTGCCATTCGAGTGCGCCCTTCCTGTTTTTACTTTTTGTTTCAGTCTTTTTTTTTCGGGCTCTGTATGGTGTGAGTGTGGATGTGTGTGCGCGCGTGCTCACTTGGGCAATTCCTTGCGCACGGTGTAGTTGGGCAACTCCGAGGCCTGGTCGCATGCGAGACGGCGCATTTTGTTGAGGTTGGCCTCCACCGCGGCCAAGTATTGCTGACACGACCAGTCGCTCTTCTTGGACGTGCTGATCAAGCTTGTGACACCCTTGGGGAAGATCATGATGTTGATGTGCTGGATGTTCGTGTTGTGAACGGCGAGTGCGTTGAGCACAGAGCGCTCCTGATCCAACATCAGCTCAAACTCCTTGTGGGAAAACGACCAGAGGTAAACGATGGGCCGCGAGATGTCCATGGCAAAGGCTTCCATTAGCGGGGGCACAATGGGCGCCCGGTTCCAAAACGACCGATAAATGTGCTTGCCGTTCACCTTCTCCTGCAAGTTCGTTTCATACGAAAACATAAAATCCGTGTCGAGCACACAATAGTCAAAACTGGACGTGGTGCCGGGCAGATCATACATCAACTGCGTGGTATCCTCAGGCTTGAGGTAACCGCTTCCCGTTTTTTGCTTGGTGTATTTGGTGCTGTAGCAGAGGTACTTCATGTTATCGTTCCAAGGATTGGGGTGAATGTGCATGCGACGGCGGGGCAGGCGGAACGACAGCGAACTGGCATCCGCCCTGTATCGATAAAAGGCAGGCAAAAGTTCCTGGTATCGATCTACGTCGGTGGTTGAAGGTTGAGCATTGCGGCTGCAGAGGTAGCTTTTGCTTTTGTGCTCACACATGCCGCTTGAGCGCCACGTGCAGCCAGACAACGCCCGGCACTTCTTCTCACTCAGCTTGGTTTTGGTGTCGTAGCCCAGAAAAGCGGCACAAGGATCGCAGGTTTTGGTCGTTGGACGAGCCAGCGGGGCTACCTTGAGCAAACTGGGGCTCAGAATTGCTACGTCGCGGCAAGCATTCTCGCGTCGCGTGTCCGACAGTACGTTCATACCGCAGTCCCCAAAGCAAACCTTGATGGCTTGCTTCAGTACTTCATTCTGCAAGGCGCTGCGCTTGCTGCCCAGCGCCTTGCACTTTTTCTCCTCCATCTCTTGCAGGCGCTTTACAACCTTGGCACGCAAATCCTTGGCCTTTTTGCAGTAGAAAAGACCAGTCGGAATCTCAAACTTGGTATAATCGGTCTTGGCATCCTCCAGATAGGCCTTGTACAGCGTGTGCGATGGCGTGGTGGTGAGTTGCTTCATGGCATGGTACTTTTTCTGGCGCTTAAAGCTGCAGGCTATATTCTGGTTGTACGACTTGATTTTGCGATCCACTTCCTGAAAAGCGTAAAAGCTGTCTGTTCGTGACAAGCCATGTGCCGGCGTCAGGAAAGGGTCCGCCAACATGCTGAGCCAACTACTTGGGGTAGTGCAAGATTCTTGATCTGAGTAATCATTGTTGCAGGATACTTGCAGCTGCATTTGAGCACGTGCGCTCTGGGGTGCCTTGTCCTCATCCGTGGTGTCACACTGGAAAGTGTACTCAAAGGGAGTTTTGGCCACGCCGGCGGTCGCATACTCGGGCATCAGCAGACCGTTGATCGTCAAGTTTTCCGTTGCCGTCTCAATCTGGCATTTGTGAATGGGTGAGGCAAAGAATGTAGACGCCGAGTCAAACAGCCGATAAAAGACGCTGCTCTTGGGCAGCGATAAGGACGTAGTTGGCATGGCAGTGCTTCGAGCCAAGGGCAGTGGAAAGAAGCCATCGTATGTCACGACGGTGTCTGCAATGGTGTGTGTCACGTGCGCAACAAACACCTCACAAAAGAAGAGGCTACCATACCACATGGCATACTGCCCGGGCGTTGAAAATGTCAGCTCGTAGTACTTTCCCGTGGGATCCTTCAGCTTTTCAAATTCTTCGAGTTTTAACTTACGGCCATCACCAAACTCAAAATGATCCACGGCATCCTTGTTTGCTTCCGCAATTGAGCGTTCGCCACTCACGAACGTGACGCTAAAATGCTTGGCCTCCAAGCGAACCTTGGCCGTCTTCCGCTCTGGGTTAGAAGGGTCCACAAATACAACAACAGGATCCATTTGTGCAACCTACAACAGGCCAAAGTACAAATTTGGTGTATCAGAAGTTAACACAACGTCCAAGCGAGTAGCTTTGTAGGGGCACGCAGGGGGGGGGGGTATTGACACGCACCGAAACCAGAAAGTTGGCTTTGCGCCCGTCAACATCAATGGGGACAATGCGCGTGAGAATGCCCGATTCCTTGGACAACAGCTTGCCCGCAGTAGAGTCAGCGTCGCCTTGGTAGCCAACGTAAAAGTTGTTGTAATCGCTACTCAGGCTGATTGCGGCACCCTTGACACGCTTGTACATGAATGGCACCGCAGGGTCGAAAAAGGGGGAACAATTTTCATTTTCGCTAATATTATCTACAAAGGCACACCCGTTATCAGGTGCAATCATGACAAGGGCGTGAAGATGGATCAAGCTCAAGACGAAATTGGTTCCAAAAGAAGAAAGGCAATTGAGATAGGCGGGCATGGTTTGCGAACACAATCAAGTGCCGTACCGACAGTGTTGTAGTAACCCACGCACACTCGCGCGCGGATCCAGCGCCATTTATACTGGTTGACAAACTCAACGTTGCGAACATATACGCGTTGCATATTTTCAACGCCGTCAAGAGCAGGGTTTTCACTGCCATATGCCCCAAACCGATAAACGTCGGTTTCACAAGAAGTGTCCACATTGGCATATTTCCACATAAGCTCTCCCTGACTCGGCATCAACACTAGAAGCACGACCAAACGGGCAATCAGTTCATTAACCAACGAAACACAACAAATGAACCACGCGATTTAGTTTTGTTCCCCCTACCCCGTGATTAACTGTCCTTAAACTATCGGCGGGAGGGTTGTCAGATGCCCCTCTCCCGACCCCCTTCAAACATCGCTGTGATGCACAGCTTACCTCGGCCTTGAATCTCCACTCGATAATGGTTGGGTCTAAAGAAACCGCAACGACAAGCAACGCAGGTAAGTCAGACTTTTAGGAGATACATGGCAATATCGCTTTGATGAGGATTGCATTTTTGCAGTATTGTCATCAGCGGCAGGAAAAGCCAGGCTTTCAATACCGTCAGGTGGGTGAGCCAATAGCCGCTCGCAGAATGACGTACCTGAAAGATACGGCTTCGGTCAGATCCAAGCGCAGATCAAAGGTCACCGTTGGTACCTGAATCAAGTCGGCGCTCACTTTCAACGCCGAGCTTTTGATGGTGTTCATCACGTTGGACGGGCTGAAAAGTGCCGATCCCTTGCTGAAACCGTTGTTCTTACTGCCGGTGGTATAGTCGAGTGAACGCCACGAAGAGTCAAAGGTGCTTGGGTTGTTGTACTGGTTCATCGTCACGCGCGACCCCGTGGATAGGACCAGCTTGGTGTCAAAAGTTATGTTCTGCATGAGCAAGATGCGCGGAGCGGCATAGATGCTTGAGGCGGATGCCGGCCAGACCAGCTTGCCCGAGGTGGCGCTGGTCAACTTAGTGAAAGTGCAGCCGGATGCCGTGAGGCATTGATTACAACGGCCCGAGGCCGAATACTTCCATTCATATGAGTCAGAGGCTTGTACATAGCGCATATGGCCCGTGATGGTAAAGCCTGCCTCGCAATACCAGGCAAAGCTGCTGCTGGCAAAGCAATCCTCAACCGTTGGCTCACAGGCAAAGCCCTGGCAATCCTCTGGTGGAGTCCATTTGCAAAACATGATGCCAGGGGACCACTGGATCGGGTCGATCACGCCAGCAACATTAGCAGCGTTGGTGATCGGACAGGCGCCCCGTGTGTGAGTGTATGTCCGTGTCATCGTGGCCTCTTCCAAACGCTGCGCTTCTTGATTGTACACAATCTGCAAGTCATCAAGATGGTGGTGCATCCAGGATTGATCCGAGTTTTCCGGCACGCGGACGTTGGAATTTGTAGAGGATTCTTTGATAATGGTAAGATCAGCAATTGGTAAGCTGGCTGCCTCCTGGTCTGCCAACTCGGCACCAGACAGCATGCGGTACGCGGTGGCAAAGGTTAAGTTGCTGGCACAGGCCGACACGGAAGCGGCCGGGCAGTATTCCGTTGCTGGAATGTCAATCTGACGATCGCAGGTGGCATGGATAACGTTGACGGACTCAGGCAGACCCGTGCTCACGTTGAACTTTTCCACTGCCGCGTAGGTGACATCCACATATCGCAACATCTGCTGGCCTGCGAAGGTTTGATTGATGCCCAGGCGCCAGGCTCCCTCAAGCGTGTAGGCGTTAACACCGGCCTGGCCCTCTCGCTCAATTGTGCGTTTGGCCATCAGGGACGATTCTGCGGGCATGATGTAGGTCTTGGTAGCTGATTCTGGCGCCCCAACGCTCGGGGCGGGGAAAAGAGGTGCAGGCTCGGTAAATGTCAAATCTACAATTTGTGGCGTGGTGATTCGATCCGAGGGCCGCCAGACGTTGTGAGTGCGCGTGGCTCGCACAAGGGACAGCACATCTGTATCGTTCGCCCGGCCTGAAAGCGAGCTGAGAACAGTTCCGTTCAAGCTGGCCAGGGCATCGACCGCAAGGCTCAAGTTACGTGCTCGCGACAGCGGCAGCGCGGGAGCAAAGTCCAACACCATGTCCAGCTTGGCGGCGCAATCAGGTGTGGTGTCCGTTCGCACGTCTAAGCAATATGTGGCTCCGACATCAACGGAACCCCAACCGTAAGCCCCAGCCACAGGCTTGGTCACGTTATTGTAGAGATACTCGTCCGCCGTAAAGTAGAAGTACACCGTTGCGCTCGGGCCAGGCATTTTTGCCTGGAAGCGCAAGAATGCAGCGGTCTTTTGCTGCAACAATTCCCAGCGCCAATTCTCAAAAGCAAAGCCATCCAAGTCAAGCTCAGTCAAACGAGCTTGCAAGGGCTGAAATGAGGAAATGCTCTCGAGGCTTCCACCCAAAAGGAGTGTGGGAAGGGGCGCTGTCCACGGCCGTGCTACAGACGTGTTACCGAGCCGCACCACGTCACTGAAGGGGCCAGGGACGAGAGCCGCAGGCACGGCAAGCGTCAGGGCCACGTTAGCGGAGGCGGAGGGGGTCGACGCGGCATCAATTGGGCTGATGGTCACGGTACCGTCAGCATTGAAGGTGTAGTCGAGTTGGCCGGCCTGGCACGAGCTGTTGCAGTTGCTGCGTCCATAGACTACGACGCGTGCGATAGCGGCGCCGCGCACGATCAAGCGGGTGGCCAGTGCGCCGACGTCAGAGGCAGCTTCAGAGTGGCTCACAGTCGTCCAAATATGCACTGTTTCTAGAGTTTTGCTTTGTGCAGCGGCATCCAATTCGGCCTTTGTCAACAGGGCATGGTTGGCGCGACGCAGATGCAGGTCAGCACCCGCGTTTCTCTCAATTCGATCCGGAGCATAGGCTGGCAGCGCAGTGGCGGCCACCACGACGGTCTCTTGCATACATGTGCGCGCGTTGTGCAAGAGCACGGTCCGTGGGCCCAGGGTGTCTGCCTGCAGGCGAGCCACCAGCTGCTGCGTGGACAAAATGTCTTCTGGCGCGTCCAGTACTACCGTCAGCGATTCACTGTCAATCGTGTTGAGACCAAGCAACAGTGCAATCAGCGTATCGTCGCGCAAGTTGGCATGCTCAATTGTCACTGTCAATGTGCTGTTGTCGTCAGAGGCAACGACGGCATTTGTAGCGGCGGAGGGCAGCACGGGCGAGGCCACAGTCCCGGCGCCGGACAAGGCAAAACACCAGTTGCCCACGACATCTCGCATGCAAGGGCCATCCATATCCTCATCGGCGAGGATCCAGGGATAGGCAGACCAGCCTATACATGTGTCTGTCTTGGTCACCTGCTCGGTGCAAGCGCGATCTTCCGGTAAAAAGATGTTAAAATCCAAATCCGCGGGCGCCAGGGGCGTGGGTAGGTTGCGAATGGCTACAAATGCCGCGCTGGAGCAGCTCAGATCATCCAGAGTCTTGGCGTCCACTGTGCGACCATGCAGAAGCTCTCGTGTCAGGGGGATGTTATTGTCGCAGTGTGGAGTGGAACAATCCCACAGATCTACGGTCATGCCGGAAGCAGGATCTGTGCCCTCGACATGCAGACGGCTGGTGTCACCCACCGGTTCAGCAACCATGGTGGCCGGGTCGTATGCCTCCGACGCCGTGTTGGTGAATACGCTTGCTTTAACGCCGGCAGTAAAAAAAGGCAAAGCGGGCAGACTAGCCATCTGCGCATGTAGCGTGCCCACGACGCGAGTCGCGTTGGCAAATCGATCTACAGCACTGGACGAGCAACTGGTCTCGATCCACCACGTTCCAGTATTGATACACAGCGGCGTGCTCATCAAGCAGGCCTGCAGCCACTCGTGCCGGTAGCCGCGGGATCGACAATGGGGCGTCAAATGCCTCCAATTTCCACGTCTCGTTACTCCAGGTGGTGAAGCCTGTGGCGTTTTGCTTGGTTGCGTTCTCATAAGCAAACACATAGGGTGTAGCGCCTTGGGGTGTGATACACACGTGCTGCGAGGATAGGACCTTGCTGTTTTGCACCAAATCCACTTGAGCCGTGCAATCCAGCCATGACGCCATGAGGGCCGGGCGCACAACAAGACTTGTATTATCGCCCCCAGTAGTCTGACTGGCAGCTAGCACAAAATCGGTGGCGTTGGCGTGAATACCCCAGCCGCCCAGCTCGCGCACCCGAGGCCACGCCGCGTGCGGTTCAGTTGCCAAGAGCAGCGGCCAGGGGCTGTCGTGCCAATTGTCCAGGGTAATGCCCCGCACACTGGCACGACGCCAGATTACTGTTCCATTACCGACGGCAAGCTCATACGCCACGGGGCCAGCATGGCCAGTGAGCAGGGCTGAGTAGTAATCCGTGTCATTGACAATGCGCAGTTGCAGCTGCCATGCCTCGAGTTGAAGACCCCAGAGTTGCACCGGACTTTGACTCTGCACGGTCAGGTTGACATCCACAAAGTTGCATGCACCGTCCTGGGGATGCTCATAGCATGTTGCCGCCATTGATTGAAGGCACGCCGATCCGATGAGGTCCAGATCTATTTCGTCTAGAATGGTTCGCACGTCTTGCTGAAGGGCGTCATAGATGGCATCGAGGGTGCGGTTGGTGCAAACGCGCGGCTCAGCCTGCGATAATTCCATGGTGACTCCTGTTGCTTCATTGCTGCCACGAGCCTTCTTGGAGATGGTCGTGGCCGTGTAGCGCGTGCCTGCCAACCAAACGTCGGCTTGAACCGTCTCGGTGAGCTCGCTTGCATTAATATGCAGTGTGACGAGTGCAGCTCCCAAATCAAAGGCAACGCCATTAAGGATGAGCTCCCAACCTGCAGGCCGTACGGCCTCAACGCGCACTTCATGAACGGTAGCGGCGGGAACGGAGTAGGTGGCGTTGGCAGACCACACAAGCACAGTTCCCTCCAAAATGGGATGGAGAAAAGCATCATCCGCCGCGTGCTTGAGCTCTGTCAACAGAGCCTGGCTTAGAAGCACCTTGGATGCATTGTTCAAAGAGTAGTACTTTTGGGTAGCAGAGCTTGCCAAAACTCGAGAGGAATACGCCGTGACACCGTGGTCTGTAGCTGAGACGACGGCGCCATGATAAATCAGGGCCATGGAGCTCGGCGGTTGCAGGATCACGCGTACAGTGGAGTCCAGTGGCTTGTATGTGAATTGAGCTGAGCCAATGGCGCTTTGAGCCTTGCCTGAGATCGTGTCGCCGTAGCGATCCCACTTTATGTTGCGCAAAACCAGGCCCGTATCTGCGTGTGCGTTGCCGAATGCATCAGTGTGACGTTTAACAACGCGGACTTCCATGGTGGATGTGGCCCCGGCCAAGGCTATCGTCCTTGTATTAACGGAGGCAGAGGCGGTAGCCTCGGCGAGAGCAGTGGGAGAAAGGGCAAAGAGGTCAGGTGTCACGGGGTAGTGCGCTGCGATCGCCGCGTTTACCGGGCCAATGAGCTGGTAAGCATGAATCGAATAAGGCCAAGCCGCCATGGTTGAGGCGGCGGCACGTGGAGCGTAGTGCCATGCCATAAGACTCTGGTGTAGCGTGCACAGCCCGTTGGTCACGGAGAGTCTTTTCGAAATCTCAGAAGTCGTCTGGCAGTATAGCTCCTCGTTTGCAATGTTGCAAACGTGTTCCCAGACATTGCCTTGACTGGGTGCCTCGAGGGTGTAGTCCACAAACTTGGTGTTGCTATTTAAGGTTCCAGGTGCAGGCGCGTTTTCAGCAAGTGCGGCAACTATCATCCTGATTTCAGAATCATAAGACGGCCAGTCTAATGGGGCATGCCTCACAGCAATGCGTGTGTGCGTGCCAATAAGCTGCCGCTCAGCATCCAAAGTCACGGTCAGAGATACTTTGGCGTGGCCAGCCAAGGGCAAAGCACACTCCACGCGTGCAGCGGTCATGGCGTTGATGTGAGTCAGCTTCAGAGCACAATGGGACACGGTGACCCCCCGCCAATCGAGTCCACCATCCACCAACACATCGGCAGACCAGGTTTCCCATGCCGCGTTGCTCAGGCGGGGGCGCAAGCCATTGAATCCGGTGATGAGGGCCGAGTTGACCACGAATGGACCGTCGTGCATCGTATGCATGGCATCAAGCGCATCCATAATAGTGGTGTAGGCCTCTGTCATATCCGTCAAAGTGCTTCCATGTGCCAGACGGATCGGATCCAGCCAGGCTGCACGATCGGCTGGTGTCGGCAGGTTCCAGCGCGTGATGACGGACATGGCATCACGGCACACCAGCGTCCAGCCAAGGAAGCTAGCACGCGCAGTGGATGCAACGAAAGTCTCCGCCGTTTCCATAGCCGCGGGCATGACGAGCGTCACGGGACTGAACGGTGTATCCGCCCAACGCAGCGTGCATTGTAGGGCAGCGTCGTCGTCCTCCCAGGCACCATCAGAAATCAGTCGTTGAGCAGAGGTGATCTGGCCAGTGCCATGCGCGGGCTGCACCACGCGCTGGCCATGCACAAGCAAACCGGACGGTGCTACCCATAGTTGGTAGCTTACGCGCTGGGCCGTCACCGTCGTTGAGGTCGTTGGGCGCAAACACTCTAGTCGCACTGATGTCAAGAAACCTGCTATAGCAGGCGCTGAAAGCGTATTGACCAACAGGGCGGGCATGCCCGAGTAGTTGAGCTCAGCAAGCCAAATATTGTCTGCATCACGACCCAAAGCAGCATAGACGTGGGCAGGCAGCAGCTCAGCTGCGCTTGATGCCAAACTGGTGGAATGATTGACGCCAGCTAGCGATGCATCTACGGCCAGGGGATTCCAAGCCGTCTCAAAGCCCAAAGGCAAAGATACACCGGGTCGGCCACCGAGCAAGAGCGTGGCATTGCCTCCCTCGCGCCGAGTGATCTGTACTGTGGGATGTGTGGTGCGCTCAATGTCAATTCTCGTGGCCAAAACAGCCGACCCCAGCGTCTCACTTGTCACGCGGGCTTGACAGCCACTGCAGGGCCAGCAAGCACGAGATCCCTTGATACACAGCTGAGCGGCTGAGACCGTGCCAGATACGGTCCAAGTTTCATGGCGTAGGCCATCAACCTTCTCTGCACTGGGAATTTGCAGCAGCTCGACTTGCCGCAGGCTTGAAAAGGGCAGGGTGTCAAATGCCGGTGCATTGGAAGGGGGTAGGTCCGTGCGTAGCTCGTTGATGGTCCGCGTAGCAGCCACGGCTGCCGGAGCCTCGCAATGCACGTTGCCAGAAATGGTGCTCAGCGTACACTCGGCGCCAAATCCCGTCACTCCAGCGTAGTGCAAATCGGCTTCCACAACGGCGGCGCTATAAGCAGCAATGACTCCGGACACGCCGCCCCATGTAATTCGCGCATCCAAACCGGAGGGCGGAGGCGCCGCCATTGCGGCTGCTGGGGCGGCGAAAGCGACTGTAAAGGGGCGACCATCGACCCAACAGCCCTCGGTAGCAAACCAAGAGTCGTTGTACAGAACCAAGGTCTCCACCTCCGACGGAACGACACCCGCGTGCGTCTGGAGCAGCGAGGCCCAGGGCAGGGCAGCATTGGGTGCAACTGCAGCAAGCACGTCATCGAGGGTGGAAGTCGCGCATGTGTTCACAGAAATTCCGTTGCTCAAGCGATTGCCCGTGGCACAGCCGCGAGCGAGCTGCAGATGGGGCCCTGCCTCGTTTCCACTCACAGTCGAAATACGCGCCAAGGTGCTGTCAGTAGCGGCTGTCGTTTGCGTGACACTGACCAGTGTGCACGGATCGGTGATCAAATGGACTTCAATCAAAGTGCCACTCTGCTCCAGCTTGACGATGGTGTTGTCATCATTTTGATGCATAGTTGTCGTGCTTGCCTCAGCCCAAGCTACGCTTTCCACATGTGCCAGAACGATATCGCGGCAAGTTGCTGACAAGCGCGGCGCCACATCAGCCTCCCAATTGGGTAACAAGACGCTGGTTGCGGCATCCATAGCGGGGGAAACCAGCATCGCAGTGCCCTCTGCCACAGTCCATGACTTGCGCGTTGTGATTTGCCAGGACATGGGGGCGACCAGGTCAATCCCACAAGCAGTGGCAGGCGCATCGAAGAGCACGCCGTTGTTGCGGCGAACGCCGCGGGTAACAAGTTTGCCCTCGGATACGCTGTCCGAGGCTGGGAGACGCGCATCTGACCCAACGAGTCCTACGTGACTGGTACCAGCTGCGTAGACGTCAAGGGCAGGAAAGCCAGAGTCAAGACCTGCAAGGTTGAGGGTTGTCTGCTGGGTGGACATCCAGCCGTCGCTGACAGAAAAGACATGCTCCAAGGCAACAACACAGTCGGATGATGCAATGCTTGCAGCAAAAGCCGAGTTTAAAAGACAAAGGCTAGGCGAGGTCCTTTCAGGAGCAAAAGGCGTGCTCGCTCGACCGGCAACCTGGTTGAGGACTTGGCTCAGAGGGTTGGCAGAAAGCATGCTTAGTTCAACCACATGCCACGTGTGGTCGTTAGCCACTCGCACGTGCATGTACTGGGGCTCGTCTTGAGGGGCCAGTTTGAGCGCGGCTAGCTCATAGCCAGTCAGGGATCGGATGATGCGCGCTGAATGCCAAGGAACAGAACTATCGCCCAAGGTCAATCTGGCGTCAGTGGCAGCTGCCAAGCCCAACGCCATAGCACCATGAGACAGATCCAATTCCCCGCTGGTTGTGACAGCCCACGTTTGGTTCTGAACACAGATTGCACCAGAAATTGGCCAGAGCGCGCCTTGACGTGCCCGTTGCAGCTCCCAAGACTCGGGACATTGCTCGGCGTTGAGGACCCAGGTCGGGGTCACAGCCAGTAGGTTGGACGCATCATCCATCTCCATGAGGTGCAAGGTTACACGGCGAACACTGGGTAGACTGGCAGAGGCCCACATGGCTTGTAGCGCCAAGCTCCATGGCGTGTGAGCTTGCAAGGTGGACCCCAAAAGAGCCCAGGTCAGGGGTGTCGTACCATCACAATGTGTCAGGGACAGGTCCAGGTGACTCTGGTTGACGGATTCCAAGGTGCCGCAAACGGTGCTGGAGACGACAATCTGCTGACGCTCTACTGTCCAGATGTTGTCCGAACATGGTCGGCACCAGCGCTGGCTCTTGCACGTCGGGGTAGACTGCCAGGGCCAGGTGGCATGCGAGGCAGCGAGACAAGGACCCGTGCTTAAATCAGCACAGACACGGCATTGCTCCGGACCATTGCTGGTCTCCAGAGCTGTGAGGGTCCAGCCACTGAATTGCGTAGCGGTCTGGCTTGCACCTGCCAATAAACTTGCGGGGGCACTAATGGCAGCGTTGGCCTTCGACCACACATGCTGAGACAGGACAAATGCTTCCAACACGTTTGCATCCGAGTCGGAAAGCAAAAGGGCTCCGTGCTCAAGGGCAACTGTGTCATCCGACAGGTCCAGGAAGAAGCGCTCCGTTCGAAGCAGACCATCTGTGCAAGTGTGCAGCGGTGTTAGTCAACCAAATTTGTGAACCGACCTGGGGTTGTGGTGCCATGTTTCTCTCTCTCTCTCTCTCTCTCTTTCTCTCTCTCTCTTTTTTTTTTTTTTTTTTTTTTTTTTGGTGCAATGAGTGACGTACCTTGCCAGTAGACATGAGTTTGAGTGTGTCCATCAAAAAAGGCGGCACGTCGCACACGGGCCACAAAGTCCAAGGTAGGGTCCCACGAGAGTTCAAGGGTCACCGGCTGGCCTGTCGTGCCCAGTTGGGTTTGCATGTTCGCCAGGGCAACCCAGGTGGATCTGGCTAGAGGACATGTTGATGCACAAGTTACCTCAAGGGTGGGGGCAGTCGCTTCGCTGGTGTCAATGCGATGGACTGCCGTTTGACTGGTCGCGTGCCAAGCGTGCCAGGTGGTGTTGGCGGTGCTGGCACCGATAAGGTGATCCACGCGAACAGAGACGTCCAGCATGGCGTCCAGAGGCACAAATAATTGCGCTTTGCTCATGGCATCGTCTGTCAAAGCGTCGGAGAGGGTACACTGAAGTGCAAAGGTTGAGGTGGCATCGTTGACATTAACACTGTTTAGAATGCACGTGTCAAATTGATCAATGTTGAGATCCTCGTGGTTCTCTGGGCCTGGCAGAGCAGCGGGTGGCATTGTCTGTGTGTATAACAAGGCATGGTGACAAAATACATGAGGGATTAAACAATGGAAACAATCGAGTTCAAGCCAAGGCAAGATAGGAGAACAAGTCACGGCGAGCCACCGAGGCCTGAGTTTGTCAAACCTGAAACACCGAAGCCATGGTTGGAGTGGAAGCCAGCGGTTGCAGATGGGTGATTGAGAAGCTGGTCAAGTCACTGTTGGACACGAGCCCAAGTCGAAAGCCGTGCAACTCAATCTCTGTCTCGACAGGGAAAAAAAAAAACAAAAAACGCGCGGCGCACGGGGTGAGATCACGCTCAGAAACGGGCATAGTGGTGTAGGTTGGGGTAGACTCGCCTGTTGAATAGGAGCTACTGCTTGAGGTGAACACGATGGGCCAGTCGTCTGCTTGCCAGGTGCCAGCTTGAAGAGGGCTGGCCAGAGACCAGGCGTTGGTCACGTTGACGGGACCTGAAAGTTTGAAGAGGACCGTCAAAGCAACATCGTTGATGTTTGATGCAGCGCGAAGCCCGGTCAGAGATGTCTCTCGAAAACAGATATCGCTTTCGGCGCAAGGTTGTACAGCTTGGGCCATTTCCGCTATTGTGGGAGTGGGGGGCAGGGTGATACTAGAAGCGAGATCTGTGGTCAGTTCGGTGAGAAGGTGGGTCGTTTGCTCCAACGGCGTAAGGTCTGCAAGGGTTAGGTCCGCGCCCTCGTCGTTAATGCCCACGAGGGCGTCGGGTATCGTGGTCTCGATGTGGTAATCATAGACAGACGTGACACCCGCGACATGAGTCACGTTGGTGGTAAGTGTGGCCAGATTGAGGGCAGCGGTTGTGATTGTCGTGTTGCCTTGTTGGCTCACGTTGCAGGCTGCCGCCTCGCCGTGGCTCGTGTGCACGCCATTTAAGTCGAGCCAATGACTAGTAGCACCGTCCGTCCACTTGGCGCGAGCCGCGAGTTGCACGGCAGATGAAACTTTTTGGGTCCAAGCCGGTCGCTCAATGCTCAAGTGCAGGCTACCCTGCTCCATGACCGCGGCTTGAGGCATGCCAGCTGTACACGAAGCCCACAATGAAGTCAAGGTGTCTTTAGTCTGCGGGCCAGGGCAAGAAAGGATGAATATATGAGTGGAGTGAGCGCCACACGTGGAACAGGGGATATTGTGAAGCATGGAAAGTCGGGTACTCACAACAGCTTGAAAGTCGGTTGGGTTGAGGCGTGTAGCCACCTCCAGCTCTACTTGCCAAGGACACTGACTGGCCTCATCCATACAAGTCGGAACACCCAGCACTGCAGGTAGCATGCAGGGCATCAGCGTCATGGTGGGGTCAGAAAATCTCTAGTTTGTAGCGCCATGATGGGCAGGACGCCAAGGCAGGCAAGCAAAGAGAAGAGAAGCGAAGGTGATCGGACCTTGACAGGCGGCGGGAGTGTCGGTGCAGGAGATGACTTGAGTAGCCTGGCTGGGTATCGATGCACTCAGCAGCCCGACTAAGGCCAGCAGTCCAAGCCGCAGCATGGCGCTGGTCGGGCTGGCCCGGGCCATGCCCCTAGGGTGATATAATGTCAACAAGCAGGACTAGCAACGCTTCCAAAAGGCCTCGCTGGAGTGCGCGGTTGAGTCAAAAAGGAACGGAAAAGAGAAACAGAATGAGATGCCAGAAAGCCACATGCAACACACATGGCGTCAAGGCATTGATGCTGGGGTGAGTCGCACGTTCAAGAGAAATGGCGGCACGCAACCCTGTGTGGAAACACGGCCAAGGTGATACGCCCACAACACGTCTTGTGCTCTGAGGCTCATCTGACGCCCTCAGGGAAGGAGAGGGAGAGAGGGTCAGAGTGAAAAGAGGCAGAGCGAGTCGCTGTCGCTGGGACGGTTCAAAGAACACACACGTTCTTTTTGTGTTTTGGCAAGAGAGAAACTGGCCACAAAAGGTTCTGAGCGATATTCGTCATGTCCTTGAGACCCATGAGGTTGACACAGGGATACTTTTTGGGAGATTTCGTGCCAAGTCTCGGTAGGGTTAAAATGTGGGCCCGAGATTGGCTTCGTCAAGGCCAGGACAGCATCCGAATTTACAAAATGTTAAACCTTTTGTTTCTCAAGCACCCATGTTTTCATCAGCTGATTCGATTGCGAACTCTGGGCAAACCAGGGGGGCGTGACCAAGGGGGGCGTGACCAGGGGGGAGTGACCAGGCGGCGGGACCAGGGGGGCGGGACCAGGGGGGCGGGACCAGACCAACCGTGTGGTCAGGATCACCAGACTGACTGACAAGCCACCATGGCACGTGTCAGTTC